ATATACAATGACAAGTGAATAATTCAAGTGAAATACAGTAACATAAATATAGATTGAAATATACACATAAAGGTACAAACGGCGGTCTTATCGCTAGAACAATCTCTTGCAGACAACCTTTGGTTAAAGGAGAACAGATAGAAATGGGCAGGTGGTGCAAGAGTGAATTAATTAATGGATGAAAAATAAAAGTGTACTAGTCTAGAAATTCATTACGCAACCCACTCATGTGAGCCGTGTAGTGAAGGATGTTGCAACTGAACGTTGCTTTATTTGTAAATGTTTAAAGCCTAATTTCACCAGAGGGAGACTTTGCACAAAAGTCGATTGCTTGGGTACCTCTGTCCCATTCGTGTTTCAACCGTGGAGCAGTTGTGTTTGCATGGCTGTGTTTCGGTTTGAAGGGTGGGATATGGCGTGAATTTACAGGGTACAGAGGAATAACACCTGAGTCCTCAGTAATGGCAACGCATGGGGGGTATCATGGGCGAAACAGTATACTCTGTTATGTCCATGGTATTGCTCATGTCTATAGGCGACGGTTACCACTTTCCATCAGGTGGGCCGTGAGCTTGTTTGCCATTCTAAGTTGTATAAAATAATTTGAAATTTGGTACAAAAGTCGGTTGCTTGGCTTTACAGTTCAATGATTAAAATAAATATAGTTTTAATGAATAAAGGGGTCAGTCTTTAGCTTAACTTAGCTTTGTTTTGCTCTTTTTAAGGCAAAGCAATAAGTTGAGTTGTGACCATTTTGTGTTGCTGTGGCACACGCATGAGGAGAAGGACTGTATTTTTTTCTTTTTTCACTGTATACTTTATGTATTTTTGTTTGTGTGCTGTATGTAATGCAAATAAATTATCTATCTATCTATTTTGTCAATAGGTAAATATAATATAATATTATATATAGGACAAAAGAAATTATATACAAATAAAATTTTGTTGTTTCACAAACAATATCAAAGCGGCACTTACGGTTTAGGTAACTGACAAATAGCTCGCGTGAATCAGCGTTATTTACATCGGAAAGTGGTTACAATTCGTATCGATTACTCGTTTACCACCGCCCATTATCGTACCAATCGAGATTGTGCCTAATAATCGGGGTTTTTACCCCAACACTAATTCGGTATGATTCGTTCGAACTCAATAAAATGTTGCCGAACGCACCTGTCGCTTCGAGCTCATGTCAGACGTATTTTGGCATCGAATAGGCATGGGAACACGATATATCGATAAACTCGAAATCGATAGTTGCTAATGGATAATAATGAGATAGTAACCCTGCCTGTGGTATCGGTATACACTGACGGGGCACCAGTGAGAGATGATAAGTGAGAATGAAAAGGCATGTCAGTTGGCCCATCTTGACGAATTCAACGATAAATTAGTAACAATAGTTTCCAGGGCGAACCGTATGGAGGTCGTATAGGAGGTATATTAATAACAATGGGGACTTACCTCCCCATTACTAACAATTCCTTCCCCCGCCCCCGAGTTCGATAATTACGTAATAGTGATCTGTTAATGTAATCAATTTCGTATAACTTAAATTCGCGCAGAAATTAATGTTTAATTTTAAATATTACGTGTTCTATGTATATAAATATGAAGACGAGACTGTCTGGTGTAATAAAATCAATATATATAATAAAATCGTAACTAGTCGCTGTCTATACATGGAGGATATATAAGAAAAAGTATTATAGGGGGGCTTTATTAACGCAATAGAACCCAAAACAATGATTTGTATAATTCTTGTCTGTTTGTCTTTACGTTTGCGTACGCTAATCTCAGAAAAGGCTTAACCGATTTGAATCCAGTTTTCACTAATCGTTGCGGTTTGCTCTACTTAACATTTAGTGTATGTTTTATTTCAATTAGTTCATAAATAAAAAAGTTATATCAATCTAAAGAATCACATATAAAATGCTATAAAATAACCGATCAGTTGTTGGCTGAAACTTTATGAATGTATTAGATACGTAATTATTATTAAGGTATATAATACAATACAAGACTCATCTATAATACAATACAGATTCATGAAGACTTCCAATAGAATGATATACAGGAACTATATAGTTAAAAGCGAGCAACGCCGCGGGAAACGTCCAGTTCTAACTAAAATTGTATTAAACACTTTATAGATGACTGGTTAGTCAGCTTTTACCTCGAATTAATTATAATTATGTATGTATATTGAGATATATCTCAAAAAATTATGTATGTATAGATGATATGTTTCGTGGATTGTCGTCTCATTAGCATCAAATGTAATAATTTAAATTTAAACAAATCATTAGTTGATTTCGAAATATTTTTAAATCTGTGTTACAAAGTATATTTGATTAAATACTCTAAGCATTGTCTGTAATCCAGTTGTTCATAGAAAACTATAATATATTATATTCAGAAATACTTGAAACGGTGAACATTCTAGAAGTTGAAGAATCCTTTTTACGAAAGTTTTAATAGAATGAAATTTCAATTGAATTACTTTTTTTTTATACGACTTAGAATGGCGAACAAGCTGACGGCCCACCTGATGGAAAGTGGTAACCGTCGCCTATAGTCATGAGCACTACCATGGACATAACAGAGTATACTGTTTCGCTCATGATACCCCCCATGCGTTGCCATTCCTGAGGACTCACGTGTTATTCCTCTGTACCCAGTAAATTCACGCCATATCCCACCCTTCAAACCGAAACACAGCCATGCAAACACAACTGCTTCACGGTAGAAACACGATTCACGGTTCCTATCTAGGTACTATAAAATGATTTAACATTAAGAGCCTTAATTGATAAATTAAATAGTATCGACATCGATAACGTAGCATGCATCCCTATTACGTATGGCGAATAACCATAATGGTCATTTCAGTAATAGCATGTCGGACAATGCATGCGAATGCATGGCACCCGCGGGATCGGCGCTGGAAAGAGGGGAGGGGGGAGAGTGTAGGGTGCGCAAGGGCAGCCTCGTGCCCTTCACCGTGGGTCACCTTGCGCAGGTACATGCGCGTGCGCCTATTGTGCGCGCAACCTGACACCAAAATGTAACCTACAATTAAACGACTCCATATTTCTACCTTATACGTTACAAAATAAAGTACATATTCCTATTCCATTTTCATGTTACTTACACTGTATTGGATTGTAATTCTAACAAGTTCCAATTTCGGCTTTGAATTTTTAAAAACCAATTGCATTTTATAGGTGAGCGTGACAGGATAATTTAAGAAAGGAAGAATCGTATTGCCTTTTTTGTTGACGTTACTCATGCGAAGTGTCTGTTATTGTTTTTGCTGGCCGTACATTTTTTTGCGACGCTTTGTTTCGTTGCGATTTTAATACACGTAATAGGCAACGAGTAATAATTTAAGTGTTTGAGACTCGTTTCTGGTATAATTACGCGTCTGCGTTGTTAAAGATCGTACATGAATATTCTATTAATAGTGTTCGGTATTGATACGTGATCATAATCATCTAATTAAAACGATTGCATATATATATATATATATATATATATATATATATATATATATATATATATATATATGCGCAAATCTGATAATTATTTTATAGATAGATAGATAGATACTTTTTATTGTTTCCTCCAAAAGATTACAATAGTAAACTTATTATAGATATAAACAATTACAAGAAATAATCACAATGAGAAAACAATGGGCGGCCTTATCGCTAAGAGCGATCTCTTCCAGGCAACCTTTGGATGGAGAGGAGTAATTATAAACAGTTTGATGAATTTTAATGAATTAGAAAGAAATTATACGAGTTTGTTACTTTAATATTATATATATATATATATATATATATATATATATATATATATATATATATATATATATATATATATATATATATATATATATATATATATATATATATATATATATGGGATATTGGGATTTCCTTCAGGTGTCTGTGTAATTTTAAATTATTATAAAATTGAGTCACAGTGAAAACTATTCACGGTTCCACTGAATTAGTACCGACATATTTCGATGCAGTTTTCTAACAACATTGTTCCTTCACCTGGAATTGAATGCAAAAAGACAATATTTATTCCTCGGAACTGATGAGTCGTCGGCGCGTACGGTTTTCCTGCAGCAAGATCTTTCGCTTGGCTTTCTTCTTAGAATATTCTAAATGAGTCACGACTCACCCTTCATTTGGCGCAGTGCATATTATTATGTACTTATATTTATATATCTCGTAATTTTTAATGAATGAGTATACTTTATTTGTATTATACGAGTACATTATAGGGGAAAAACAAAACAATTTACAAACACAACGATACAATTGTATAAGTACAGTGAGGCGCTCTTATTGCTGAGAGCAATCTTTTCAAGACAACCTTAGGCTAATGGACTAATTGTTGTACAAGTAGGTATTGTATAATTAATGTGTGTTTCATTCGTTTTAAAATAAATACTCGTGCAGCCAGTGAAATTTCTAGGCAATAATATTAAATTTATAATGATGCCATTATCATTATATCAACCTTTGATTGTCTACTACTGAAGATAGGCTTCCTCCTTGGAGTGCTTTGCCGGTAGTTACCACTCTTCGCAGGTGGCAACTACAGTTAGGCTTTGGTGATGTTTTAAGAGGGATGCTGCTGTCCATCTCTCGACAATTAGATTCCCTTTGTCACCTCTTACGACACGTACGGAAATAGAAGGGATGGCCCATTCTATGCCGGGACTAAACAGCAAATTACAATGTTGTTATTTTTTTTTTTTATAAACAATTCACTTTCAAAATAGTCCCAGACTATTTTTATAATAGTTGATATATTTTTTTATTTTTGTACTCGGTTATTGTCTGACAAAATTACAGAAAAATAATTAAAAACAATACAATTAAAATCTTAAAAACGACTCCACCTATACTCGTTGATGCGTTTACTTTCTTTTCTTTATAAATACAATTAAAGCAGGATATTTATTGTTTGTTCCACAGGAATCCTCGCCTACATTGACGCTAATATCGTCGAAGGTAAGTCGAATGCCAAATAAAAAAAAAAAATAAAGCAGCATATCATGCTATCATTGCCATCGCTTTACTGGTAAAAACAATCAAATATCCTGCGCCATGTTGTTACGTTCCTTTTTTAATTTTTTTTGTCGTCAAAACGCATTGAGAGTATTGTGGAGTTATGAAATATTAAAAAAAATAGTGTTATACAAATTGCGAAATCTTTGCATGGATTTGTTTTTGTATAACATTAAATATGTTTTAAATGAAAACTTGTATCTAAATAATGCATGACTTAGAGCATACTTCATCATTCGACATCGCTATAAATGTGTAATTTGTAAGTATGTTAGTGTAAAATGGTATATTTATTTGCATAAGTGTTAAGTATCTTGAAGTAGTTTATTCTAAGTATTTGCGTACGTAAACTGGTATTTCTAAGTATGAATCTATATAACTTGGAAGTATCTTAAAGTAGTTTTAATATTATTAGTAAGTAAATTCCATGTTTTTAATGGACGTTAAAAGTAGAGAGTTCTAAATTATTTTTGTGTATTAATTTTGTTAATAATTTAAACTATACTCACTGTTTGTTTAAAACAATATAAAGAAGTGTTTTTGACATTTAAAACTGCCATTTTTCGCAGAATGATACCTTCAACTACCTTTATCATCGCACCGCTTGCTATCGTCAGGGAATTCATCCTCACACCTGACAACCTAAATGATCACGTACAATGCGGGTTCAAAGATGTTTTCTTCCGTGAACACTTAGGCTGTGGAGTGAGCTCCCTGCCGAGGTTTTCCCTAGATCAAGTTTACTACTCGTACAGTAAGGAGTTCTTAAAAAAGGGTGTATTACGATTTCTTCAGAGTTGGTAACATGTATGTGACGTTCCTAGTGTTGCAGGCATCCATAGGCTGCAGTGACCATTTATCATCAGATGGGCTGTTACAGGTTTCTTTGTCACTTTTGTGTTTTAAAAAAAGAATCCTGATTGTTTCAAAGTAAAATCTGCTTGAAAATATACCGTTCCGTGTTCCAAATTCAAATACATTTAATATGTAACGTAACATCTTATCGTATACCGATGCGTTTTAATTTTAAAATAAGAATATGCATAAAATACGTTTATTTAGTAACTTTTTAATATTGTTTCTGCATACCCTAATGGGAGACAGGCGTGACAGATATACATGATATATGACAGATATGTATGTATGTATGTTGTAACTTTTTTCAATAATTTCAGGTAGGCAAAATAGTAGTATATAATATAGTAGGCATAATTTCAAACGGCTTATAAAATTTTGTCACCATACTGTACTATACGTTTATTTATTTTATTATATGTTAAATATTTATTTAATTTACTCTCAAATAACTTATTCATCATCATCATCAATTCAGCCATTATCCGGCCATAACTAGACATAGGTCTCCCCCATAGATTACCATAAAAAACGTTCCTGAGTCAACTGCATCTATTGATCCTGCAATGTATTTGAGATCGTGTCTCCATCTCGTAAGGGGTTGTCGTACACTGCATTTGCCCGTACGGGGTCACCTAACAAGAACCATTCTTCCCCATCCGTTGTCGGTTCTTCGAGCTATATGGCCAGCCCATTGTCACTTCACTTGCTTATCTTTCGGGCTATGTCGATTATATCTTTTTTTTTTTTTTTTTGCGAATCCTCGTTTCTTAATAATAATAAATAACTTATTATTTAAAAGTATATAAAACTAGTAAAGATCTGTATACTGAGTCCATCGAATCGTTCAAAAACCCCTTGTTTATTTTTATATCCTGTTTAGAAGCTGTAATATATTATTATCTAAATGTAACGTGTCAGAATTGGCCGCTAAATGTCATTAAATACATGTCATTCTGAATTATTATGAGCGAAATATATCACTTTGGGTAACAGCTCTTATCTCAAAATCTGTAAGTCAAGTTTAATTAGAAATCCGCGTGTTATATATAAATAGGAGTTTATATATTTAAATATAACATCTAACAAAACGATACATAAAGTGGCTGGATTAATTGACTGTACAAAATATAGCTGTTTTTTTTCTTACAAAATTTATTATTTTTCTATTAGTCTTCTATTGTACCTGTGACTTTGTCTTTTTTTTTTTATACAACTTAGAATGGCAAGCAAGCTGATGGCCCACCTGATGGAAAGTGGTAACCGTCGCCTATAGACATGAGCAGTAGCATGGACATAACAGAGTATACTGTTTCGCCCATGATACCCCCCATTCGTTGCCATTCCTGAGGACTCAGGCGTTATTCCTCTGTACCCAGTAAATTCACGCCATATCCCACCCTTCAAACCGAAACACAGCTATGCAAACACAACTGCTTCACGGTTGAAACTCGAATGGGACAGAGGTACCCAAGCAATCGACTTTTGTACAAAGTCTCCCTCACGTATATTTGTATAAAAACAATTAAAACAGATTATCTATACATTTGTATTATATTTACATTTCTTTAAAAGATATATTTAAAATATTCCGGATTTAGGCTTATCAAACTTTTACTTTATAAATATTATAAATAATTATGTAAATTGTTTTTTAATAAAGCAAATAACAAGTTTAAAAAAATTTAAATACTTACCAACGGGTGCAAAAGTATAAATGTATATAGGTATACAAATTCTTCCATATAAAAATATTGAAAAAACGTAATTGAAATAAACGTATTAACAACAATTAATAATTAATGAACTAATTACTTAATAATTAGGAAATAAATAATAAATTATTGTTAAATAATAATTAATTTACTCTTAATTATATAATTTTAATAGATAATTATATTTAAAACAGACATTTTTATTTAAAATTAATAATAATATATTTTTTTTGTATAATAAAGTATAAACAAATAAAAATAATAATATGGTAATAGTGTGGGCGTGGGCTTTCAGCTTTATTTGCCATTTCACGTTCCATAAAAAATAAATAAATAAAATATAAAAAATGTAATAATTTATTGTTATATTAAACTAAAGACATTTTTTAACAATTTATTTTTTAAATTTTAATTTATAATTCTCTAATAGTATATAAATATAGGCTTCAAACATTTTGCGGTAAAGACCAAAAAAATTTTATTTTGTAGTACCTACTCTAACTAAGATCCTATTAATATCATAAAACAAACATACGGCCCACCTGAAGGTAAGCAGTTATTTTTGATGGGTGAAAATGGAATGGTTACCCCGCTTGCGCTAACGGGATATGCTGGCGGAGCATCAGTGAAGGGTGATCAATGAGAATGAAAACAGGCCAGGTAGCCCATCATGATGAATTCATCAGGAATTAACCATGATAGTTACCAGGGAGACCGCGAGGAGGTCGACCTGGTTGGGTATATTGCTAGCAATGGGATTCTCAGTCTACATTACTAACAATCCCGATGATAAGCGGTTACTTAACTTTAACTTAGCACATACGACACTATATGTACTAACTCAAGCGGGCGAAGTTGGAGGACATAGCTAATAAGAAATAATACTAATAATTAACATAAGGAACCCGTACAATAAAACTTTATACACTGGTCTAATGACATATGGCGTAAATGAGAGATGTATCTCTCCGATAGGTACAGTTAGCCGCGTATATCACAGGTGATGGTCCAAATTTTTTCTGTGTATCTGAACTGGTCCCCATGGTTTATGATCGTGGATCATCGTAGGCGTTAAAGTAGAAATCATTATTTTCCGCTATAAAATATTATCTTTACATTATCAACCGACTTCAAAAAGAAGGCGGTATTTTTATGTGTTACGTTGTATATGCTATTAAATAAAAGGAAACATTCTTTTACTTATCACCATCATCGTCATCATCATCTCGGACATTATCTGTCCAATGTTTTTTTTTTTTTTTTTTTTCTTTTTTTGTGGCGTTCACCCTGTCCAATGTTGAACATTAACTGAACAACAACGTGACGTATACCAATTAAAAATTAATTTCGAAACTGACAATGTATGCTTCTGTCTGTATATCCGTTTTTTTTGCGGAGCAAATCTGATAATTATTTTACTGAAATAGCAAGAAATTGCCTCACTCGGCGTGTTCTACCGCCTGTACAATGGATTGTGCTCAGAGGAATTGTTCAATATGATGCCCACAGCCACTTTCTACCATCGTACGGCTCGCCATCGACAGGGAGTTCATCCTCATGTCCTACAGCCTCAATGGTCGCGCGGTTTCAGAGATGTTTCCTCCCACGAACATTCAGGTTGTGGAATGAGCTCCCTGCCGAGGTTTTCCCAAGAGACTACAGTATGGGGTTCTTCAAAAGGGGGGTAAAGAGGTTTCTTCAGAGTCGGCAACGCACGCGTAATACCTCTGGTGTTGCAGGTGTTCATAGGCTACGGTAACCGCTTACCATCAAGTGGGCCGTATGCTTGTTTGCCACATCAGTGGTATAAAAAAAATTATACGAGTTCATTTCTTATTTTAATACTAAATAAATACGTAGTTAACCAGAGTCCTCAAGAATGGCAACGCATCCGGGGTATCATGGACGAAACACTATACTCTGTTATGTCCATGGTACTGCTCATGTCTATAGGCGACGGTTACCACTTTCCATCAGGTGGACCGTCAGCTTGTTTGCCATTCTAAGTTGCATAAAAAAAAGATGTTAATCAATTCTTGAAGGAACTGATAGACAAGATATGATTTCCATATTTATTAATCAATTTGATTGGTTGTTCCTTTTATATTTTTCTCAATAGCTTCTCTGTATCAATATCTCATGATGAATTGATGTAATTTTATATAAATTCTACCGTTTATTATGTATTTAATTACTTAATTAATATTTTAAAGTTAATTAGTGTGGCGCGCCATATATATATATATATATATATATATATATATATATATATATATATATATATATATATATATATATATATATATATATATATATATATATATATATATTATGATTTATATGTCCACAGTACTGCTCTTGTCTATAGGCGAC